GTGCGGGCTCGTGCGTGTTTTTGAAAGTTGATTTTGCACTCGTGCCGTGCCGGGCCTGAAAATTTAGGCCCGTGCCCATCTCTAGTCGTCATCATAAGAGGGGGTCCAAGGCTTTACCTTTCTTGTTTAATGGAAGTGGTTTTTACATGGCGGGTCCCAAACCCAGCGCACAACCCATTGCTGGGACGGGGGTGGCTTTACAACCAAATACACGTTTATATAGCGAGCCGCTTGCTCCAAGCAGACACTCGCTAGCAGCAGCACCTACTGGTGAACGGACGCTGCAGACTTCAGTGAGCCGAATAAGTCGGGTGGCCCACCGAAGCTCCCTCTCTTTCTGCCGTGACCCAAGGCTCCACTCGGATTGGTTACCGCATCTCGCTCATGGGTTGTTCACGTTGCCCAGAGTGCGCGAACGAGGACGCAAGAGTCGGGATAGAGTGTAGCCGTGCAACGGTACCTGCGTACCCAGCGGAATGACTATACCCCATTGCAACCTGACCATCTGCTTCGATTTAATTCACAAAAGACCACACTTACCTCTTGCTTATCTCCCACATAGTAATAGTCATCACCGGAAATGGCAGCAACACGCGTGAGTTGGTTCTTCTTCCTAGGGCAATCTTTGTGCATATGTCCTAACTGGTGGCACGTAAAACACGAACCTGATGGTCGTTGTGGCATTGGGCAGTTACTCTGTTAGTGGCCAAATCACGATCAGTTGAAGCAGCGCTCTGTAGTCAAATCATCAGTGGCCACTGCCTTAGGCGCCTTTGCTTCAAGTTCCATGATGCCATAGTGAACAGTGGTTTACGTGACGTAGAGTTCTGGCGGCGTTGTTCTTAGCGTTCAATTCGCCGTACGAGTTCACTCACGGAATCAGCACCGTAAAGGATGCTGATGTTGTTGCTACTATCAGGGATCCCATCGATGATGATGCAAACTAACTCCGGCTCCAAAATTTCTGTGCGACTATCGACTGCATTGCGACGACATAGCTAATGCAGGATCACGAGGGTTTGAGTTTGCGTGACCGTAATTGACGGTAAATCTCTTGCCTCGAGCAATTGCGTCGGAACATAGCACACAACGACGACTTCAATGCAGAATAGTCCATAAGGCCCTGATTCAGAATAAATTCCTTTGCTGTTCCGGTCATGCACCGCCGCAGTGCTAGACACTTATGCCTTTCGCTATAGCTATTGGCATCAGCGAACAGTAAAAACCATCTGTTGATTTTGTAGTGGTTATCGCCACTAAACTTCGGAACTGCCGCGACGAGTTCATCAAAATGGATGTATTTTCCCAGGCGAACACTCGAGTGAGTTTGCTTTTGTAGCAACTGACCTTGAAGTTCCATGACTTCTTGGGCCAGTTTTGAAACCGCTAATTTTAGGCACGGTTTCAGCGGAACCGGCATCAGTCGGAGTTTAAGGTGCAGCGGTAGCACGCGCATCGGGAACAGCAACATCATGTACAGCGGCGGCACGAACGGCAAATAAAGTGGCATCGGGATCACAAGGCGTTAAGGCAGCGTATAAAGCAGCAGCACGAACACTAGGTGCATCAGAAGCACCAGGTGCGGCAGGGGTACTTGGTCCAGCAGGAACACTAGGCACAACAGAAGCAATAGGCGCAGCAGAAGCACTAGGTGCAGCAGGAGCACTAGGTGCAGCAACAGCGGTGACATCATGTATAGTGGCAGCGGATATGTCTGGTACCACATTGGTACTAGTTTCGGAAACTTAAGTTGCATTTGTGGAGGCTGAATTTATCGGATGTGGCTCAATGGTTACGCTGGAAAGTGAGTCCGTTTTGTTGCTGCGCTTCGGATCGCTGCTAATTCCCATATCTTCCCAGTGGCACGCGTTGAACGCCTTTCTTCAATTTTCGTTGTTATTTCGAAGTTGATAATTAAATAATGTGATAAACAATTAGCGGGTAGCACCCCACACCTGAGGCTAGGGTTGCCAACCGTACTATTATATATAGTATTGTACTATTTTT